GGAGCTATTCAAGTATGTCTGCGATGTTGGATTTTAATGGTGGGATCAACCTTGATGTGTATATTTTTGAAGAAGTTATAGAGAAGTGATTTATGTCAAAATCAATCATTTCCAACGTTCCAACATAACAATATAAATTCTATTAGAAATAGAGGGAAAACAGAGGAATTTTTGTTTTTCAAAGAAAATTTTCGAGATCACGTTTCAAGATATCGAAGTATGAAAAAAATTATAAAATATATGAAGTGCGTGTTTAGTTGAAAAATGTTTGCGATGTCGAGGGATCCTCCTTTTGCAAGGGAAAAAACGAAACGAATTCGTGAAAGAGTTTGAATCATATTTCACCGACACATAACGTTCAAAAAACTATTGAATAATTGTTATCACAGAATTACAATGTTGTCATATCTGATAGAATTCTAAACAGTACGCCAAAGTTGTTGGAATGACTTGAAATATGGAATCTCTCCATCATATTAGGACAAAAAACATCGAGTCATACCATCGAGTCAAAAGCCACACAACTCCCACTCTGACTGAATCCCACTGAAATGCACACAGCACTGAGGCTTCCCTGCGAAACTTTGAATAGGTCCCACTTTCATTCGAAATAAAAGGGATATGAATTTTCCAGCGAGCAAAAAAGTTGTACGAACTCACCTTTTAACTCTCTGTTGGGAACGTAGGAAGCAATAAATTCGCAATGGAAAAACAAGCCCTATCAATTTCGAATAAATGATACGTAACAAATAAAGGAGGAAATTCTCTCGAGCGTACCGATTTTCCGACGCTTCCAACGGTGAATCACTAAATTGACTCGCACGTTCCAAGCGGAAAAGTTTTAGTTTTCTTCGAACCGTTACTGTTTCCAGAGAGTTGAAAATGAGGACCAACTTTTCTGGATGATGGATATTTATGTTCATGATTAACAAATTGAAAATTCCTCCCAACGTCCCTACATGACAAATGTTTTCCTCCAGAAAACAACTTGCCTAGTTAATACCTCGACCGAAACTGGATCATATCTGACAGGTATTTGTGTGAATTTATTCACGGAAGTTGAAAATATTTTAGTTGAGAAGGCCATTCTGTAAAACCCACTACCACAAAATTTCAAGTGGAGAATACGGTCCTGACTGGTAACCTATAAACGTGCTTATCAGAGACCGCAGAAAGTTGTTATTTTTCGAGCAAAATTCAAATTTCAAAATATTTGTGATAGTGTATACTGCATCATACCATAGCCAACTTCATCAGTACCTGTGAGTTATATTCTTTTCATAGTATATGCATTTGACCTTTCTTCGAAATCCTTACTGACAAGACCAAATAGCGGTTCTTATCAGTACATTAAGAACTGATGGACAGGGGCGTACTCAGATAATTAAAACTATGAATGAAGAACAACACCCGGGTACTTCTGACTACAGGAGTACCCAGAACGCTTCAAGACTTTTCTCAACGACAGTCAGTCAAACGATAGCACCTACTAGCCCACCAAATTTTCCGTCAAAAAAACAAGCAATCTTATTCAACGCCCTAGAAAATACAAAACTGGAAGACTACCTTCTAGCCTTAGGAAATCAAATCGAACCCAAAGAAAATTTGCCTAAATTACAACTCAACAATAAAGATATTGAGTACGTCAAACATACAAAATTTCTGGGTATGATATTCGATCAAAAACCCAACTGGAATGAGCACATTACATACCTTAAAATGACTTGTCAGAGCGGTCTAAACATAATGAAAACTATTGCATCTAGATCATACATACAAACAAACATACATACATGCAGGTGAAGCTAATTAAAGCGTGTAAAAATCTCACATATTTGGCTATCACAGTAACTTTTTTGTAGCGAATAACTTGTTTGTTATTCAGATGAAAATACAGTTTTGTAAGGCACTTCAATTTTTTTGAGAAATGAATTCAAGGAGTGTTTAGGTAACACGACAAGAGTGGAAGAAATTAAGACAATTATCATTATTGAGATGCATGCTCCAACTATGAGAGATGTATGTCATGTCCATTCAATTAGTGAAATTTCTCGAATCCTCATGCTTCTCAATTCGGTAATTATTTCGATCTACAATGACCTTGTCGTTCTCCAGACCTGACACTGCTAGGTTCCCATATAAAAACATATGTACGATGATTTATTCAAGAGAAACTCATCTTGCCATGGCTATCTTACAAGGAATGCTATTGCATTGAGTTCCATAGTAGGTTGAGAACATTTGAGATGAGTCTGCTGTTAGACTGGAAGCAATTTCGTGTTTGGTGACATTCAAAAAAGTAAAGAACGCATATTTTCTGCACATTGAATGGACCACATGTACACTACTGACAATTGTTTCCAAATATGGTATATTACCAAATATGGAGCTCAGTTAAGAATATTTCGAATGTGTAGACCATTATAAAGTACTTCTCAAACAGTCACATATTATAAATCGATGTAGTTTTCGAAATACGTCCCACTAGCCCTCTTCAAAAATCATCCTGCTAGAGTGTTTCTCGTAAATAGTTATTCGTCTGTCAAAAAATAAACAATATACACATAGAGGTACCAGGTATATATTTCTGATTATATACACAGCACTCTATAAGATGAATTCACACACAAACACGTTTAACGATAATGGAATAAGCACCGTACTTTGTTTAGGTATGTTCACTACAAGTTGATTGTTAAGTGCATGTGACAGGGGGACGGGATAATTGTTATAAACTCTATAACCATTCTAGTGAATTTAACTTTGAACTACGAGTGAATACTTGCTACTTCATTACTTTCATGCTGATGTGGGTTTTCAACGTTTCCCACTTCAAGATTTGTTAGTTGTTAAGATGAATTAGTGTAGTAACAAGCTCTACAAAGTTAATGACTTATTGAAATTTTTCAATTTATCTGTATAGAACAGCTGTAACCTCAATACTTGAAGTTGCGATTGGTGGGCTGTCACGATGACAGTCAAGGCATACCGGTTCACTACAGAGGAGACGGGAGTGAGTTTACAGATGTTGTATATTATATTTTTTTTATTTGGGCGCCAGGTAAGTTGAAATGCCAATAGATTTCACTAATATCTTTACCAATTCTCCAACTTACCAAGAGAAAAGAAATAAAATTGACCAGCCACCATTCCAATAGATCAGTATATTGATAACGTGAAAATAAAATTAGCACAGGTTAAAAAAACTTTTAGCATCCATGGATTTAATCGATGTTTTTTTCAACAAATTCAAATCAATACTTAATAAATAAATGCTAGCGGACCGCAGCAGACATGACAAAAGTTAGCACTAGCAATTGCGACAATATTCAAAATACTCATTCAGATCGTACGGTGTAATATGAAGTAAAAAATCTTTAGTTTTTTTTCCTAAAAATGTGTGCCTGATTTATTAACTTCAATTCATTGGGGAGGACGTTATATAGTCTCAATCCCATTACATCAGGTAGATTGTGACAGAGGTTTAGACGTGACTTTGGTAGGCGGAGCTCGTTTCTTCTCCTGGTGTTGTAACTATGAAAGTCAGTACTTGTGAGAAACGTGTTTTTCTTTTTATGAATATATGTTAAGACTTCCAAAATATAGAGACCGTAAAAAGAAAGAATACCGAATTTCTTGAAGAGATTTCGACATGACTGCAGCTTCGGTGCATTTGTTATGCAACGAATTATTCGTTTTTGTGCAATAAATATATCTTTAGCGGCTGGAGATGTACCCCAGATACTGATTGCATAACTAATTCTGGATTGAACTTGAGCATAATAAAATAATAGTAGACCTTCAGTGTTCGATACATTTTTTAACATTCTGATTTGATAGCATTTAGAGTTCAGTGAGCCGGTGAGACTTTTGCAGTGTGTTTTAAAAGTAAGGTCGTTGTCAAGAGAAATGCCCAAGAATTTAATAGTGGTACAGGGTTCGATAGAGATACCGCATAGGTTCAGGTTTAAGGCAGGCAAATTGAGGTTTTGACTGGTATGGAATGTCATGTAGTTTGTTTTGGAAGGATTGAGATATAGCGAGTTTTCACTTAACCAACCGTGTAGGACATCAGTGGTGTTTGATATTACTCTGCATTGCCACCTGATAAAATGGAAACACTCGATGAAAAAATGCTTAATGAAAATACAATAAGCAAACCTGAATCTAATATGTCTCACAAGAGTGTAGTATGACCAATTCATTCTGTAAAAATCATATTGTTACGTTAATTCATAGAATTTTTGATGATTCAATGAAAAATATTTGCTTGATCAATTTTTAAAACTGTATTCAACAGATCAAAATTAAGAATGAACCTGAATCTTCAAGAACACTTCATGATTACTGCACTTACTTCACTATTTCACTGTCGCTTTCCTCGCTATCAAACTTTCTCGTGGACTTATTTTCACGTTCATTCCTCTCAACAACGTTGGTGTTTGCTGATTCGCTTCGTTGTGGAATCTCGTACTATCTGCGGTTTGTTTGCTTGATCGTCTGGTTAGTTTTGGTAAGAATGTACATTTTATTTCTGAATTGAGAAACTTTTTCGAATCTAACGCGGTCTGTTCTTCGTCATTGTTGCTACTGACTTCGAAACTTCAATTTTATCATCATTGCAGAATAGTGGATTATTTTGATGAGAAATAATTCATTGTCATTATCGAAAATATCAACTTTATTTGCGTTTGGTTGAACTTGGTAGGTTGAAAATGAAACGTCCTCATCAATGTATAATTATGTATATTTGTCTTTCAATTGGATAAGCGAATATTATTTACTCATCTATTTTTGCAACCATTTTTAAGCTATGCCTTCGGGAATATAATACACTTCGTCACTTGGGTTTGAACTGAAGTCTGGATAAGCGATACGAATGAAAACATTACGAATGAAAACATTACTGAATCATTCAAACGAATTGAATATTTTATAAGGGTCAGCGAATGAAATATATCGTGAAACAATCCATTAAAACACACATTCCTTTGACTCACCCGTTTATCTGCCACACGGCAAAGAGCAAAGGAGTGGAACAGGTCGGCAGGAAAGCGATCCATACGAAAATAGCGAACGTTATATCAAAATGGCCGCTGTTGTCGTAAGTCTCTATGAGAGCCAGCCTTGCTAGACGGAGGATCATCAAAGGACATAAGCAAATGCCATACGTTGTGATCATTGTGACCAGGAATTTTTGTGTTCTCATCTCTTTGGCTACGTTGAGGTCAGGATCGTGAACTTCGTAGTGAGCCCTGCTGGGGTCGTAGTCACTGCAGCTGCTTCTGCTGTATTGGCTTGAACGGTCGAATTTTCCTCGAGCATTCCTGAAAAGAATACAGGATCCGGATAAATTATAATAATAATGAAAATAATAATGTTTATGTAGATGGCATAATGAGGAAGAAGAAGTTTAGGTTAAGAATGAACGAAATCTCGACCTTCAGAAAGGACTAAAACCAAGATAAATACATCTCAGTTCCATACCACCAATATACGAGGAACTTTGGAAAAATTTTCAAGGAACTAGGTATGAAAGTGGTCTATAAAACAAGTTATATACTACAGAGCCTTTCAGGAAGTCCAAAAGACAAAGTCGAGAATTCAGAAAAGTCTGGAATTTACGAAATTGAAAGTAAGGACTGCGATGCAAAATATTATGGACAGACAAAAAGATCTATTAAAGTAAGATATAAGGAACACATAGCACACTTAAAACATGGAAGATCTGAAAAACCAGCAGTCGCCCATCATATTTTGCAACAAAACCATTCCATAGACTTCAGTTCATTAAGATTAGATAGACAAGTTAACAACAACAGGCAACTAGAGAGTGTAGATGCCTATGAGAGTGTAGAAATAAGTAAACACAATGATATTATGAATAACGATGACGGACCTATACCAAAGATCATACTATATAGCTTGTTAAAATAAAATAAAATAATGTTGTTGAGTTTACTGATTACTACATAAGGACACATTGCAAAAATAAATTTGGATAGGCAATATTGTGAAATTAATTTTTATATAGCCGAAAATTGTTTTATATAAACATATATTGTAAAATAATAGATAAGGCAAAATTGTAAAATTAATGTAGGTTGGTATACCTGTATGGGTGGTACGCCTGGATGGTTTACCTGTATGGGATACCCATATAGCATAAATAGGGTTAGCTCGCATTAGTTTCTAGTTTTAATCTTCCTCTTTGAAGATGATCACTTGGCGATCGAAACACGTGTCGGGGTGTTGAAAAATAACGATTTGGTGTTGGGGAAAACTCCAGTAACATTCAGATTCAAATCACAAAAAGAAATAACTGAAGTAATACATGCAGTTGAATAAACATCGTAGAAACTACAGAAGTATCAGATGTTGCTTGTATGTGGTGAAAAGGAAATCCAAAGAAAAAAAATGAGTATACGATGAATATTAAAGTATGAGAATGAATATAAAAGGGATTTGCATATGAAAATAAACTACTTAATATATGAGTTGAAAAGAGAAGTTTCGATACGAGCAATTGTAAGTTGATTTTAAGAAGGATATTTACGTCGTGGATTTATGAGCGAAATCTCACTTTACTGTAAAGATATCGCGGTTTTTTAAGCAACAAAATTTTGTGTATAAGAGAACAAAAAAGAAGTGAACGCCTTTTTCTAATATCTATAGCCCAATTCAGAAAATGCAGACGAAATATGACTACGTCGAAGAAGCCCACATATAAGCCTGACACACGAATTTTGTATCATCTGAAGTCGGCAACTATCAGTTTGCATTACAGGATCTTACATTTTCTTGTTAATAAATATCTATTAGAGTAAGTAAGTTTCAAATTACTAAATGCTTTTTTCTATAACAAAAGGAAACATGATTACTAAATTTTAGTTCACACACAACTGGAAAATGTTAATGGCGAATTGTCTAGAAACAGGGTTAAATTGTGTTCGTTTCTGTCTCGTGCTCATTTGCGTCCAAAAAGCAATGCTTTAGATTCAGCTGGATCGTCAAACAGAATTTCTTCGATAAAGAAGTCAAGTTTGTAGATCGGAATTCATATGGCCACAGGCCATATGAATTCCGATCAGGAATTCATGTTCAAGGATTCATGTTAGACAATCATCTATCAATGAATAACCATTTCACCTACATACAGAAAAATTTTTTGAGGAAATTATATTTTTTCAGAAGAGTATCCCAACAGTTAACTTGCAATCGCGGATAATTGTATATAAGACAATTATACAACCACATTTTGAATATTGTCCCACTCTTCTATACACAAGTGATTTGAATAAAATGAGAACACTACAAAAACTACAGAATCGCGCAATGAGGATTATTTTGAGATGTGACAGGAGTACCCATATATCTTTAATGTTTAATACTCTAGAATGGTTATCTATAGAAAGTAGGCTTACATATTCAACGATGATTCATATTTACAAAATGTTACATAACCTTCTACCCTCATATTTTGACAAATTTGTAATTTTTAATAATCAAATCCACCAATATAATACTAGAATAAAAAATAATTTGTATGTAAATAATGAAACAAAAAAATTCAACACTAAAACATTAATGTTCAAAGAATTTATTAAGTATAACAGTCTACCTGAAAATGTAAAGTCTTCTAACAGTCTTATTCTGTTCAAAAGGAATTTATTAGATCATTTAAGAGACCATTAAGGTATTATGTGATATTTTTTATCTTTTATTCTTTTTTTGTATTTTCAATTATCGTAGGTAAGACTACTAAAATTATATTTTTTCACAAGAGTATCCCAACACTTAACTATGCAATCACGGATAACTGTATATAAGACAATTATACAACCACATTTTGAATATTGTCCCACTCTTCTGTACACAAGTAATTTGAATAAAATGAGAACACTATAAAAACTACAGAATCGCGCAATGAGGATTATTTTGAGATGTGACAGGAGTACCCATATATCTTTAATGATAAATACTCTAGAATGGTTATCTATAGAAATTAGGCTTACATATTTAACGATGATTTATATTTACAAAATGTTACATAACCTTCTACCCTCACATTTTGACAAACTTGTAATTTTTAATAATCAAATCCACCAGTATAATACTAGAATAAAAAATAATTTGTATGTAAATAATCAAACAAAACATTCAACACTAAAACATTAATGTTCAAAGGATTATTATGTTCAAAAGATATGTATTAGACCATTTAAGAGATCATTAAGGTATTATGTGATATTTTTTATCTTTTATTCTTTTTTTGTATTTTCAATTATCGTAGGTAAGACTACTTATTAACAAATATAAGTAAATCTTTTTTGTATTTATATGTATATTATTGTTAACATTACTATCATTGTTGTATATATTAGAATGTATCCTATTTGAATAAAGCATTTCATTTCATATTATTATGTCGACTTATTTCTAAGGCTCGCATAGGCACCTAGATGCCTGTTATTGTTAACTTGTCTAAACCAATTTTAATGAACTAAAGTCTATGGAATGGTTTTGCTGCAGAACAAAAAAATATAACCCTTTCACAATAAATGATAGGTGACTGCTGATTTTTGTGGTCTTCCATATTTTAGATGTGCTCAGTGTTTCTTATATCTTATTTCAATAGATCTTTTAGTCTGATCTTAATATTTTGCATTGCAGTCTTTACCTTGAATTTCGTAAGTTTCAGACTATTCCGGATTTTCGACTTCGTCCTTTGGATTTCCTAAAAGGCTCTGTAGTGTATGACCTGCTTCAAATTTCACCTTCATACCTAGTTCCTTGAAAATCTTCCTGAAGTTCTCTATGTATTGGTGGTATGAAACTGAGATATATTTATCTTAGTTTTTCGTCGTTTCTTAAAGTCAAGATTTTGTTCATTCTCAACCTCCAAAAAGTGCATCACCAATGAGATATACGAGTGAATATTTCCAAGAAAAATTCGTAGAAATGAAAAAATATCCTGTTCACTTCTCTGAATTACCCGTGTTGTAAGCTCCAGTGAAGTTTATTACTTTCATTATTCAAATTTCATTATTCTTGATCTTGAAACATCCCCCATGAAATGTTATAGAAACCCTTACTTTCCACTCTTTCGAATTTCTCTTGGGCAGAGATTCACATCATTTGTAAAAGCGATTTTAACTCCTACTAATTATTTCAGGTGAATGGGTACGCTCCTGAATTTGATATGATTCATATTCATTCGCAATTTCAACAAATTAACTCATTTAACAGAAACTCGCTGAAAGGTTTCCGTATCCTGAAACTGTATCTCGAGAAAGAGGTATTATATGAGAGGAGTGTCCCGTCGGGACAAAGGACAAACGTGACGGGAGAATTCTGGGGCGTTTGCGATAGCAGGTTATACATTTTGCGAGGAGGTAGCATTACTTTTATTCGCTCAACTTCACCCAGCCAAATAACATGGTTTTCTACAGGGTTTATTTATTTAACTCCACGATAATTTATTCTCCGTCCAAATTCTTTGATCCTTTTTTTCGATTGCGGAAAATCGCGAAAAACCTTTCCAACTTTATGCTTCTCTTCAACAAACTGAACACGGTAAACAGCTGAAACTGTCAATATATTTCAGAATTCAGGTTTCAGATTTCATTCAGACTAAAGTGTACAGATAAAGATACATATCGACAATAGTTCATTACGATTACCATTTATGGTGTATGGTGTGCTTTATGCTGTGCACATATCTGTAAAATATCTCTACCAATATCAAGAAGTTAATAGAGAATTAAAGTCTCAAAAATTTTCAAATTGATTATTCAGTGAGGCAGAGTGATACCACATTCATTGCCATCTAAAAAACGTACGTTAACCTTATATCAAATCGAAAATTGAATATACTCAGAACAGAAAATCTCAAACAATAATAGTGATAAAAAGACGCCAACAACAAAAAACCGATAAGAAACACAACTAATAAAGGTAGCCATGCACATTGACTTATTTGGGCTCAGTAATTATGACAGAGTTTGATAAAGCGATTGAAAAATTATATAATGAAATCTTGGAAAATCGTACTGAAATAAACAATTGTATTGAAGCTAGTGAAACTAGGCTTCTTTTGAAAATTGAAAAGCTGAAGAATACCGTAGGAAATTTGCAAAAAGAAAACGATATACTCAGAAAAGAATTAGAATACCTCAAAAGAGCCCAAAATAAAAAGAATATTCTGATATTTCGAAAAAAAAAAAGAAGAAATTACACCAGAACATTTGTGTAGATATCTTAAGGATTTTGTAGGTATAGAATTGAAGGATAACGATTTAGCAGACGTGTACCCCCTAGGAAATTCAGAAAACTGTTCAATAAAAATTGAACTCGTTTCATATCCGAAAAAAAAGAAATTCTGAAAATTCTGATGGGTAAGATCCCAAGATCTAACCCATCAACAAAGAAGTGAAGGTAAATTACTCAGAAAACATATTTTTCTGGTCAAGCAAGAAGGAAAATATAAAGACTGCTACATAAAAGGAAAAAAACTCTATGTTGACGGGGCCACTTATGGTATTGAAGATCTGGAAAAGGAGGACAACGAAGACATCAAACTCAGCGGTGCTCCATCTACTTCTACATTCGACACCACAACAAAAGTTTTTCCTGAATATGAAGAAGATCCAAGAACACCAAAGACCACGACAACTAAAAAAGTAGTAGTAGTCCAGCTGAATCTAATATTGTACTCAAATATATAAATGTTGAATAATTTATAAGTGTATGTGAATGTGTATATATTATTAGGTAGAGGTTATTCAGTAGGCTATCTCGTAAAAAAGTAGGTTACACATATTTCCAATTCCTATCTTTGCAAAACTCTTTCTATCTATAACTTGTTCAGAAATATGGAAGAACTTATGAGATATTGTAATCATGAACCAGTAAACACTCTTGAAATTGATGATATTATAGAACTCAACAATATTATAACTGACATAGACTGTAACAGAATCCTTAAAATATTCCATCAGAATATAAGGAGTATTAGAAGAAATATAGATGAACTCAAAGTATTTTTGAGTCAACTAAATAACAATTTAGACGTGATTTTTTATCGGAAACATTCAATATTTCTGAGTATGAAGATCTATACAATCTAGATGGTTATCAGATGATCTATAGTGGAGGAGAACTCAACAGAAATGATGGAGTTATCATGTATGTGAAAGATGATATTGAATATAATTACACTGTGATGAGTATCGCTGAGTGCAGAACAATGCAAACTGAGCTGAATATAGAGCATTATTCAATTCTCATTACTGCACTGTACAGATCTCCTTCTACAAAGGAAGAAGTTTGTCACCAAACTCCAAGAATATCTAGAAGGAACAAAGAATCATAATTCAGATAATCATATTATTATTGGGGATATGAATTTAGATATCAACAAAGATATAGACGTAGTTTCTGATTACTTAAACCACATGAGTGAATATAACTTCATCTCTATGATAAACAAAAATACCAGAATACAAAATGAGTCAAAGACATGCATAGACCATATATTTTTGAAAGCGCGCAAATATATACATGACGCATGTACCGCGGAAATTTATGATACATGTATAACAGATCATAAGAGTACCTTACTAATGATTCCAAACGAAAAAATGATGTCAACATCCAAACTAACTAGAGTAAAACATTACGTACAATATGAACTGGTTAAACAAAATATTAGAGAACATGACTGGTGTTTCTACACTAATCTACAAACTACCGACGAACAGGCCAATTATTTAATAGAAACTCTTGAAATAATGATTGAACAGAATACGCGGAGTAGGAGGATACGAAGAGAAGAAAATAAATGGAAAAAGTGGATTACAGTGGGACTTGTTAACTCAATCAATCATAAAAATGCATTACATCGGGAATATAAAAAGGATTCTCGAAACAAAACGAAATGGAAGAAATACATCGAATATAGAGCCCACACGAATACACTCATAAAATTGGCAAAACAAAAGTTTTACTACAATGAAATAAAAAAAGCCAAAATAGCTCAAAAAACTCTGGGAACTAGTTTACAGCAGCAATAAATCTGAAAAAAAACACCGCAATTAAAGAAATACAATGTGAGGACAGCACAATAACTCAAGATGACAACATCAAAGCAGATGTATACAATGAGTTTTTCGTGAATGTAGGAAGACAGCTTGCAGATAAAATAAGTAAACCCACTACGAATATTCCAGAACAAACTCCTAATACAAATTCACTCTTCCTTACATCAGTTACTGATAATGAGATCAGAGAAATAATATACTCTCTGATAAATAGAAAATCGCCAGGACATGATGGTATCAGAGCAGAAGATCTCAAGGAATTAGCAAGTGAAATCACAACCTCACTAACACTTTTAATAAAACATATATTTAAAACCGTTCAATTTCCAAACACGTTCAAAAAATCGATATTCACACCCATATTTAAAGAAGGAAAACCGGAGGTAGTCAGTAACTACAGGCAAATATCTCTTGTAACAAGTTTCAATAAGATATTCGAAAAAGCACTGAATTCGAGGATAACTTCATACATTGATAAATATAGGCTTATTTCTTGCAAACAATATGGTTTTAGAAAAGGTCTCTCAACTAATAATGCAATTGCTGCACTAACAGGTGAAATAAACGGACACATAGATTAGAGACGGCCGGCATTATGTGTATTTTGAGACTTAGCAAAAGCTTTCGACACTGTTGAATACGATCAGTTGTTGGAGGTATTAAATAAATCAGGAATACAAGGCAAAATACAACTACTTTTCAGAAGTTATTTGAAAAGCAGAAGGCGAATAGTGAAAGTAAACAATACTCTCAGTTCTGAAAGAGAATTTACTTATGGTATACCACAGGGTACTGTGATTGGACCTACATTATTTTCATTATATATCAACAGCCTACTTACCATGAAGATAGATGTTTCCATTTACAGTTTTGCAGATGATACGGCCATAATATATACTGATGATAATTGGGAAAAATTGAAAATGAAAGTTGAAACCCAAATTAATGTATTGAAAGACTGGCTCACAATCAATTTTGAAAAAACAAAATTGATTGTGAGTGACTTATGTAAAAATATTTTAACTAACAAGGAAAACAGAGTTGATTGATCAGTTTTGCGAGTCCAAATTTCAAATATATTTTGCTTATTTGGTCGATTTTTTTACGTAACTGAACAAATTAAACCTTCTACTGCAAGGGTCGGAAAATTTGAAGTTGCAAGGCATGAGCAATATTTTTGCTTATGAAGATAAAATGAGTGCGTTTATCGCTAAAATCGAGCTATGGATCAACAAGGTCGAAAGTAAAAATTTTTCTGTGTTTGATAACCTTAATCAAATTATTGATGGACAGAGTGCTAAAATTAAAGAAGAAATAGAAAAGAATATATTACATTTAAAAACTTAAAAATTGAATTCAATCGCTATTTTCCCGACCGCGAGGATAAAAGTATTCAAAAACTGATCATCAATCCATTCATTGTAAACGTTTCTGAGGTGCCTGATGAAGTTCAAGAAGAAGTAATTGATATGTTACATGACAGAAACTTGAAAGATATATTCGAATCAGGAATTAATCTTGAAAAAATTATTTTACTGTAAAAACTGCAATAATTCATACCTGGTATAATTTATTAGTTTTAACAAATTGTTTGTCCTATTCAAAAGACAATGATATATATATCTCTAATGAGACTCTAGATGTGACTTTTTACCGACTGTGATATTTATCTCATGTGATACCTTGTATAGAACTGTTAACTATCTATTGGTGATATTTAGATAATTTGTAATGTGACATATGTATATTATGTTCACTGAGATTTCAAACCGATCGTGTTATTCACTTGATCTGGATGTGACTTTTTTACCGACTCGACTGTGATATTGTATCTCATGTAATATCTTGCATGAAACTGATAACCAATCATTGTGATATTTTAAATATTGTATTATGTGCTACATGAATGTTTTTTTCGTCATTTTTCAAAATCTTTTCTAGAAGCCATATCACGATTGTTTCTTCAGTGATGCCATTGTTTATTTATGCAGCTCTCAAGCACTACTGATATAAACTTATGTATTCAATATTGTAATTTTTTGATAAATAAAAATTATTATTGAAATACATTAAATAATTCCATGCTTATTTTATTTATAGATGAATTAGAACAACCATTGCATTTATTTACTGTACTGTACTGTATTCATTTGTAGTTATCGTAGGGTACTTTATATTAGCTACGAACTAATTAACCAACTTTTTGGTCCATGGCCTGACAAAAATTTTGTCAAATGATCCCGCATGACTATAAGGTTATGAACCACTGCTCTAGAGACTGCAGTGATTTCCGGCGATTCGACAGAAATGCACAAGAATGCTCTGCATTTCATCTAGTATTCAAATCGAGTTCATCGAGTTCGGCTTGAAGGTGAGTTATGCTGACAAAGCATTTGTATTGTTAGACATCCACAGTATCAGCAAAATAGCGAGAGAATTCAACTCATTTTCATTTGATCATGGTTCGAAGAAAACCACCCCTATCAATAATTCACGCTACGCCATTGTCATTCTATCGCTATCGAATTTATTACACTTACCGGAATTCCACTGTCGTCGAGTGCGAGTCAGTCCTGGGTCGGCCGCCTTTTTCTTTGCACCGGGACTGGAACGTTATCACCGCCGAAGAGCTTTGTGTTGCGAGTTCTCGGGATATTCGAATGAACAAATACGAAATGGTAGCCAAAGGGGCAGCGTACCTGAAACGAATTCGGATATTATCATACAGATGGGTTATGGTAAATCGAAAGTGAGTTTGTTGCGCTGGCAAATGTATTCCGGGTTTATATTCGAATTAATTTGAATATTTATTTTTGAAGCCGTTTCGTGCGCGCTGTTGGTTTTACCGGAAATTGGAATGTGAATATACTTCTCGTAATTAAGTTAATCTGAAATATGAGGGTTTTTATCTACTCTCGCATTATGCTCATTTATTTTGTATGGATGGGTGCTGGATATTCACCCTCGACAGGTCTGTTCAGAGGGTATTCATAACCATATATCCACAGGCGAATATTCAGTTGCTCACTGTTTCTATCTCGGTGACTGTAAGACCTACAAGGTCGGTTGATCTGAACAAAATTTGCCTATTTTGCAAAGCAATAATTATTTCTTTTCAGATCCTGTATATAAATGGTTGTTTTTGAAATATTCGCCAAAAACTATAATACCTTCGCCAAAAATTAGAATACATTTGCCAAAAGCTAGAATAAAAGAATTTAGTTTTTTGGCTCTACGACCTCTATTTTGAATGACATGAAAATAAGTCAGATAAACTTCTGATATTTATCATTTTTGTTATGATCCGATATCAATCAATTTTCAATGCGACGATTATTCCATAAGATTACAAAAGTTTCCGAAATAGCAATAGCACACATGCCTATAATTCGGCGAAGGCGTGTACATTTTGGCGAATGCGCCAGCTCGGAGGTTCCTATAATTTGGCGAAGGAGTATGTTTTGGCCAATGCGCCAGAAAATCGAATAATTTTTGAGTGCTATCCGAGGCCATTACAATTTTCTCAATGAGATCTAATACACTTTCAGTATTAGAGTTTACCATGAAAGCGAATTGACTTTCTTTGCGATATTACATGATATTCACTAAATGAATTCATTAAGTGTAAATTTAGAGATTTTCGAAAAATTGTTTGCAACAGAGATGGGCCTATAATTTTCTACACAATGGTGTTCACCGGCTCCATAAACAGGAATCAATTACCTCATTTTGCGTTACTGCGACTATATGACCTATAAATAGTTACTATATGACCTATAAATAGTCATCTCTCGGAGGAATCAGTCCAGTCATCACCCGAAGACGATTGTAGATACTAACAATCGAAACGTCGTGAACTAATGTGACTTGGAATCTCTCCACTTTTCATTTTTATTTTATTTTTTCATTTCTTTATTTTTATTTATTCAATTGCTCTATTTTTACTTGTATTTTATTTCACTATCATTTCATTTCAGGTTTATTTTGGTTGATATAATTGTTATTTTCAGCTATTCAGTTATTTCAGTTGTTTTCAAGTCCGAACTAGTGAAATTCTTCACGTACCTAGATATTCTTCTTTAAAAAAGGAAAATTATCTTTATAAATCAACAATTAAGGCAAAATATAAATTATAGTTCAATACCACTTCCACAAGCCACATAAACAACAGTTGTTTTGTTATTTATTTATATAGAGGAAGATACATTAGGTGCACAAAATGTTATATGTCACAGAATGTCTCGGAACTCGGAACATAAGTAAACAGAACAGCACGCCTCTGAAATATGTCATCTTTGTTTGTCTCATACAGGTAACATTGTCCTTTATTGTCCTTTTTTAACTATAACCGATGTTGCTAAATGGTGAAATAGAAACGAATCCCTTTAAATGTTGAATGCATTATTTCATTTCTCTTTTATAAGTATTTAAATATTTTTTTGAAGAAAAAGGTTGAAATGATGAGTTCAAAATGCGTTGTTTTGGAGCTCTTTTATGAAAACTACTTGATTTTCATTAGGAGGAACATTCCCCATTGCCGCCCTCTAGGTTTTGAAGGCTGAATTCGACCGATGACGTGGATTATGTTGGCTTTGAGGGCCGCTGTGGTTTGTTAAGCCAAGGTCTCTAATGCATAGGCTTATCCTTGTGTTTCCGCAGAAGAACGGTGATATCTGCGGCTTTAATCTGAGCTTTTTGCTGAACGGGTTCCAAGTCGGTGACAGAGTTGTGTCAGTGTCAGTGTCATTCAGTATTATTGTTATTATTATAATTATTATTATTATAATTGAAAAGTGACTTTTACGGGATGCATCAAACGCCCTTGGATCTCATGATAATTGGTATAGTCCCAAATTCGAAAATTTTGTTTGTTCACGTACCCATCCATCCAGACATGGGCCTATTCGCTGAAGGTGATTTCTCGATGTACATTAGGGTCAGTTTCCAACTGCTCCAGAGCTCATTCAGCGAACACACGTTGTTGTTTATGATCGTCAACCTTCATTTCCTGGGTTAGTTGAATTTTGTCCGGGTGCAGGCCCAAGTCACGACGCAAAATTCGCCAAGTTGTGGTCTACGGAAGGCAGAGTTCTTGTGAGCGACGCGGAATCGACTGCCTCGAATTCTTCTGCACACTCTCACAGACAGCGGCAATGTTTTCGGCAAATCGCGCGTTTTGTCGACGTATGGGTGTTATTCGATCGTTTACTGAACCAATGGGATCGAATTTATCAATCACGATGAGAATAGTCTTCTCGATAGAACTATTATGGCATTCGTAACTGAACATCCGCTTTGATAAAACAATTCTATTATTTGCACGTGTTGCATGTGTTGCACGTGTTGCACGTGTTTGCATGAATATACTGTACAAGTGTATGATTGAATGAAAGACTGACCACCATTATTGAGAGTTCATATTCCGATATTAAAAACGATAAACTTTTCGAAAACGTTATGTTGAGAAAATTCCACCCTTATGAGCGAAAAACAGCCATCTCACACTTTTATAACGACAAGTAATGCACTTTTCCGACGTTTCAGAAAGCTCGTTAAACCAACTTCCTTGTTTACGATTCTGGAGCGCGACCTATATCAAAATAACAACTGTTTGTTGTTGCTACAAACAGCCTCAAACGGCTCAATAAATATTATTTAAATTGGCTTAGTCCCAGAGGTTCATGTCTCGGAGAAGTTTCGAAATTTTGCCTCGTATTCGGTACGAGCCGCCGGTTATTTTCTTGAAAAGTATTTTCTTGGAAACCGGAATATTTCCTGTCAATTGGCTTGTTTCAGATTGACTGCGAAATTGTTTATGAAGCGATATTTTCACTCGGAATTCCAAAGGTTTCCGCGGGCGCTCCTTTTCACACAATTTTCTCAAGGTAGATAGCAAAAAATTATGAATAGAATTAATTTATATTTGAAGTGTATATTTTTGAACAGTTTCTGTGAAGGGTGGATACTAGTCAGTACCTCTTTGGTCTTGTCAATGTCATATATAGGTTGTTTCAAAAGTATTGTCCGTTTTAATGTCATGTGTTTTTGTAGCTCCATATCTCAATAAATATTTATTCCACTGTGTCGTTGTCACGTCTCGAGGCAGTAGAATGCTAATGCCGATTCTGAACCTCTCCCACCACTTAACTCTCGAATACCGGCACATGACCTTGAGCTATTTACACGTCATATACAATTGAAGGTCCTGAATTACCTCATATGACCTTGAACATGAGGTTTGACCTTGAGATTGGACATTGCCCTCGACATCGAGTCGGAGTGGCGAAAATGCTTTTTTATAAGAAATTTGGTGCTGCCATGTTAGAAATATAAATTGTCTAAACGGTATTTTCTGTGACATGGATCTCAGAACCAATGATCAGGTCCATGACCTTTCTTGGGCGTGTATATAATATGTGATATAATATGAATAGAAGGCGATTGTGTCAATTACAAAAAGTCAATTACAAAAAGTTAATGTGGATAAATGTAATTCAGAAATGCAATAATTATATCAGGTTATGGGCCCAGACACAAAAGGTACATAAGAACTGGGCGTAAGTTCCTCTGTGATATTCAATGGTTCAAAATGTATCGGGAAGGTCAAAAACTCGGACAGTGGATGCCCGATGGTTAGAACGATAGAAAAATGTCAATTTTCGAAGCCTTTCCATGTTTGCTTCTGCGAAGATCGTCACTTGTGGTGAAAAGTGGATCCTCTACAACAGCAGGAGACGTTCAAGGCAGTGGTTGTACACCAATGAGCCTCCCAGGCACTTCCCAAAGGCAAAAATCCACAAAAAATTGGATATTGTATGGTGGTCAGCGGCTGGTGTGATTCACTAGAACTTTGTGCAACCAGGCCAAACTATTACAGCAGACTCCTATTGTGGGGAAATAGACGAAATGTACCAAAAACTGTATCAGCAGCACCTGGCACTGTACAACAAAGAAGGTTCGAATTTGCTCCATAACAACGCTTGTCCGCACATTTCACAAATCACATCCGAAAATTGAACGAATTGAGCGCCGGAGTTCAGTAGAAGAAATATGAATTCAACATTTTTTATTTTGAATGTAATTTTGGTTCCAAAACTTCAGGGGTGTAATTCCTATTTTTCCATATTCCATATATTCTATTTGAAAATTTATGGATTGAGAGGGTATACTTTTAGAAAAGATTAATTTTTGCTAAAGAAAGTTTTCCGGCTTCCTACTTCTCTATTTTGATACAATAATATGGTAATCTTCCAAAAAGAGAAAGGATGCAATTGATTTCGAAAATTAACTTCATACAAAGACGTGTAGATCTTTCACTGTTATACGTATTTGGTACTGAAAAGGCGATAAGGCAAGTGTCTTACGGCGAAATGTCGGATATCTACCACTGAGTGTTCCATGTAAGTGAAATTGTATTTCCTTCATTTATTATATTGTGTAGGAATCCTATGAATGATAGCTGATTCGATTCCATTACGAATGTTTGGGATACAAACGGACTAGAGAAAAGTGTTTTTCATATAATGTCAGCGTTTTTTTCCGTGTAATTCAATGTTTATATGAAAATAGCTGTTTCAATAAGGCTTTCTCTTCCAGTTTGTGTCTGAAAGTTACTTCTTTGCATGATCTACACATCTTCGTATAGAGTTAATTTTTGGAATTGATTGCTTTCTAGAAAGCCAAAAACTTTTTTTTACCA